ATGGGCACGCTAGCTGGCTGCATTAGCTCGAGTTTAACCTTGCCTAAATGATATTTAGCCACATTTAAAACGCATCCTTGTTATAATAAAAAGCAAAACAAAAACGCCTGGACTGACTGAATTCAGTGGGCGTTTTTCAGAATCATGGGGTTTGAGGGTATTAGCATTCCCTTGCTCATCCCACCACCCTCTGCTTCATCAATTTTTCCATGATCTAGCTTACAAACACTTGCTATGTGGGCTATATTTAGTTTATGCAGGTCAATACTTATAAAGAAACTAGAGTTTTTTTGACAATTCAAAAGATCAACAGCTTTAATTACTTGTTGTTACAAGGAGAAGAAGCACCACTTTTAGTTCACAAATCCTTGGGGGGAAAAAACCCCAAAGAACTCTTTTTGTCCAATCAAAAAAAAACAAAAACAAAAACAAAAGAACAGAGCATGGATGCTCCCATATAATCTTGACATCAACAACTATCATTGAACTTAGCAGCAATCCTGTCAAAAACTGCAATCTGCTGAATAATTCTCAAGGCTGAATTTCATCCTATTATGGGACATGTACACCCATGTACACTGTGTACCTGTTCCGCAAGGTGACTAAAATAATAGTGATACACTAGACCATGACATATAAAGAAAAACATTGACTGACCTGCCGTGTTTGAGGTATTTTCCTCCACTGACATTTTTTTCATTGTTTCTTGTTTGCCCTGATAAGAGATACATGTTAGTACGAGTGTTTTTTTTTCTTTATTATTTGCAGTAACACAAGGGAATACAGTGCTTACAATACAATATTATGAACAGTACACTAGTTAGACTAATTACAACAACAGCTCTATTTACATTATATTGTTCTAATTATTTACACTATTTAAATTACAAAATCTACACAACTTACAGTACACTACTAACAAATACAGAGATGACAAGGGGTAAAGAAAAGAGAAGAAAAATAGATAATTATCATTTTTAACAGCTTGAGGCTGTTCTATAGACTGAAACATAAAAAACAGACCAAAGGCATGTCGTACATTATAGGTAAATGAGTTATGCACCTGACAGGAGACTAGAAATAGCCTAATGGGTAGGAGATAAATACAGATAGGTATAGAAAATATAATGTAAAATATGAGTTAAATCCTCATATATCCTGTGAAAGGTTTCCATTTCTTTGTGTCTCCACATTTTGTTTCTCTTTCATATTGTGATTTTAGTGTGCATATGAAATGCATAAGATTTGGATGATCATCTTTTGTTTTAGCAAGCCATTATGGCATATGTGATATTGTGCTAAGAGAAAGCAGTACTGGTAATTGATAAGAAGCACAAATTGAGAGATATCTGGCCTCAGACCCAAAGCAGTAATATTTGTCAAAGCATAATCTCTAGGAAGTAAATTTAAGTTTTRCAGCCATTCAGTAAGTTTATTCCAAAAGTGAGATGTTTGGTGGCATGACCAAAAAAGATGAATTATTGACTCAGAGGAGGTGTGACAAAAAATGCAATTTTCATCGCCCTGTAGACCTATTCTAAATATTAAGAAGTTATTGGTTGGTACACATCTATGTAAGAATTTCAACTGAAACTCCATCAGCTTAGTGCTCTTTGTGCATTTTTTAGCTAAAAGATAGATGTAGGCAGCAGTCCAATTAATTTTATGTTGTCATTTATTGGTAGGCCACAATCCTCCAGCCACTTTTAACTTGACTCTGGGGTTAAACTCTTGTTACTAATCAGTTTTTTATATATTAAATAATGTAGTTGCTTTTTTGACTTGTAAAATTCTTGTTGTAAGTGGCTCATTTTCGTGGTCGGTGTTCTGTAAATCTTGAAAATTAGAATCAGTCTGACGAGACTTAGTCACTTTACAGCCGATATTAATCTGCAGAAGCTGAGAGGGCGAGGGTCTACTTCATACTTACAGCAGAAATCATTTAACGAGAAAGTTGTTGTCCGCTCCTAAAAGATGGTTCACCCGAGTTATTCCCTTAGTGAACCAAATTTTTAAAAAAAACTGTCTTGTTGGCTATCTATATTGGGTAGTTATGCCAAAGTTGTTGATCCAGAAAGCGCTCTTTCAATGTTATTTCATGTTCAAAGTTAACTTCTGCCCAGATTCCTAATAGTTCTTTTAAAAAGACATCCGAACTTGTTATTGTTGATAAGGTGACTCTAACGTTGAGGTTGTAGGAAAAAAAGTTTTGACAGCC